GCTTGCTGTGATGGCCTCTGAATAAAGCTCTGGTGTTGGCGCCTCCCGATGGCTCGTCTCTGTGTGTTTATCCAGCTGAGGACCGAAGACTCGAGAGTGAGTATGACTCTGGCAGCCTGCTCCTTATAGGAGGAGAAGGTCGGCGTGTCCAGTACAAGGTGGGTCTTAGTAATGTACATAGAGGGAAAAAAATGGATGGAGTGGAGTTCTGATCTTGTCCATATTGAAGTAGATGATGTGATCTTGCCCATACTATGATATGTCATGGATGGGCAGCCCACTGAGTTCATCCCTCTCACCCAAATGTTTTGGACAGGCACTGCAAATGGACAATAAAATGGGCCTGTGATTGGATGTGAGGAAGAGAGAAGTCTAGAATTCAGGTCCTCCTGACTCCAGGGCCAGTGCTCTATTTACTGCCCACCTAGCTGCCCCTTGGTTCATATTTGAAAAGCTGTACATTGCTCAGGATGTACTCAAGCTCTGATTGGCCAATTTCCATGGTGTAAAGGCTCACACTGTAAATTTAACAACTGGCTCTCTCAAGCTCGTATAAGCTGCTTCTGGCTCACTCCTACCTAGAAGTGATTGGGACAATACAAGGATGTAATATAAAGAAAAATCATGGCAGGGAGACAGGTGATGAGTCATTATATAGATGATGGACAGGGAATGGGTGGGGGAGAGGGGAAGTCATCTTAGAACACATGTGTACTGCCCAGCCAAGAGAACTTTAGTGAAGGGGAGAGAATGGAATGAGTAATAATAATACAATGATAATAATAATAACACAAAACAAACAAAAAAACCCACCTTGGAGTCCAAAGACCTGAACTCTGGCGCTGACTCTCTCTAAACCTCAGTTCCCTTATTTGTAAAATGGGAGTAATGATGTCCATCTTGCCTATTTCATGAGGTTGTTGTGAAGGTGATGGACATGAGATAATCAGAATACAAGTCAGGAGACTTGGGTTTTAATCTCGGATTTTTCACTTATTGGGATATGGCCTTATAAAATTCACCTAATCTTTTGGAGTGCCAAATTTCTTCACCTATGAAATAAGGAGGTCTGAAGAAGATGATTTCTCTAGTCACTTCCAGTTCCATGATTGATTCTACGGCATCGGTGTCATCAGGAGTAAATCCTACCAAGACAATCAAGCCCTGTACCCCCTGCGCTACAAGAAAGGCCCAGGATTTGAATGGGCCTGAGCTGATTTGGGTTTTTCTTACCACTGGCCCTTGTGGTAGAGGAGAGCCTGTCCTCCAGCTGCTCTCGAAGGCGGTCATTAATGCAGATAGATTCCTCAAGACGCTGGCGGAGGCTCCGGATTTCACTGAGATGTTCCTCCAACAGGTCAGCCCCTGTGGTTGTCCCAAAAGGGTACAGAATAGGAAGTGAGAGGGGGACTTGGCAGGAAAATGAAGGGCAGTATGGGTGCCCGTCAGTCAGTCAATAAGTCAGTTAAGATGCATTTATTAAGTCCTGTGCTAAGTCCTGGGGCTCAGGCAATTTCCAATACCCATCACCTTCCTCCTGCCACAGTTTCATCTACCCAGCTCCAACTCCTCCAGAGCCTCAGACAACCAATTTGGATTATCTCTAGGGATTTAGATCTATGGAAGAAGGAGGCAATTAGACATAGGACAAGACTGTGAGAAACAATCAAAAAAGGACCCTCCAAGCTGTCAGAAGCCTGGAGAAAACCTTTAGTCCATTTCCTGGTCTCTAGGCAAGGTTTCCTGTTTTGAAAACGATGGGGCCACTTACCCCTAACATTTTTACGATAAATATTCACTGAATGAGTTGAATTTTTTCAGCAATTTGAATGAGAGCATAGACAGCATAATTACCAAATTTGCAGATGGGTACAAATTTCCCAGATGAATTGTGGCATTTACCGATTTCCAACACATAAATGCTTGCAGCGGCTGAAAGATGAAATGCTTACATTGAAAATATAATAATTGGTAGAGCTGGCTTCTGCTAAAGGGGAGATGGGAAGGGTTGACAACTCCAGCTAATAGAATTGGAATCCAAAAGTCTCCAGAGGTTGCAACAATGGACTCAATCCAATAAAAGGCAACTTAGCGAAGACATGTGGAAAGTCCTGCACCTGCGTTACAAAAACTTAACAGCACACATAAGGGAGAGGGAGCTATTCTGGCTAGAAAATAGTGTGAATGAAAAAAGACTGGGGGTTTTAGTGGATTGCAAGCTCGACAGGAAGCAACATGTGTGACTTAGGCTGCTTGGTGTTGAGAATGTGGTTTGATTATGAGCCTGATCAGAGCAGATCTGGAGCTTTGTGTTCAGCAATCATGTCCAGAGGAAGGCAACCAGAATGGTGAGAGGATTTAAAACTATGCCCTAGGAGCACCAGCTAAAGGGATTGAGGATGATTAGCCTGGAAGAGAGAAGATGGGGGTGGGGAGGAGGACAAGGGGATGGTCACTGTGTTCAAATATGGAAAGTACTCTCATGTAGAGGAGATTAGACTTAATCTGCTTGACCCAGAGTGGCAGAATGAAGTAGGAGTTACAAGGAGGCAGATTTGAGCTCAATATATAAGGATCAGACTTCTTAACAGTTGATCTATTCTATATATACTTCATATATATATAAACATATATACATGCATATATATATATATATATACTTCAGTAGAATTGGTTTATTTTGGAAGTAATGAGTTCTCCCCTCACTGGAGGCCTTTGGTCAGAGGCTAGATGACCACTTTCTGGAATTTTGTGAAGATAATTCATACTTTGAAGGGAAGTTTACCTATGAGGTTCTAAGAATCTATGGATGGAACTTTTTGTTGTTGTTGTTGAATCATTTCAGTCCTGTCTGACTCTTTGTGACCCCCATTTGGGATTTTCTTGGCAGAAATACTGGAGTGGTTTGCCATTTCCTTTTCCAATTCATTTTAGAGATGAGGAACTGAGACAAAGAGGGTTAAATGACTTGCCCAGGGTTACCCAGCTAGTAAGTGTCTAAAGCCAGATTTGAACTCATGAAGATGAGTCTTCTTGATTCCAAGCCCAGAGCTATATCCATTGTGCCACCTAGGTGCTCCAATTGGGGTGGGAGGATGAATGGAAATTATACATACCTACTGAACAAGTCAGGCTTGGCTTCTGTAGGCAAAAGAGGGGGCTACCCTACCTAGTGGGATTTCAGGCCCTAGGGAAAGCCTATGAGTCCCACTTGTTGAAAAAAAAAAGAGAGGATTCTGGGAAGATGGCAGAGTAGATCAGAAAACTCCAAGCTCTTCAGATTTCCTCTACAAGCAAGACAAAATAGCACCTCAAGGTGAATGTAGAGTGGCAAAAATGATCAAGAGTTGGGGCAAAACAGTGGTCGTCCTCCTGGGACAACTGGAGAAGATCCGAAGAAACATCCCAGGATGGAGGTTCGGCCCAAGTGAAGAGTAAACACTTCCAGGCTAAAACAACCTCAGGCTAGCTCCACTGAAATAGCAAGTGGTGAGCCCTGGGCGCAGCTGGGTTGGGAGGTAGCCTTGGACTCAGCCACAGGAATTTTCACCTCTCAGACAGTGTGGGGGGTAGGGCATCTGAAAGGGGAAGATAGAGGAAGCTTCTGCTGACAAGGGATGCCAGGCTCAGCTGTGCTACCAAGACACTGTCCTAGGCAAGAAGGAACCAGCACGTGACAGGTGCAGAAGCAGCGGGGCAGGGATGCTGCTGGCTGTGGGAACTTATAGGAGAGCTGAGTTCTTGGTCTTGACTCCAGGCCAGAGGGGAAAACTAAAGGTCATAGTCACTGGAGGGTTCTCAGGGAACAAGAGTATTTCCAACATAGTGTGCCAGGGAACCCTAGCTGTGGCTTGGAGTGGGGAAGGAGTGCAGAGGTTGGGCTCAGGACAAAGCTTAAAAAAATAACAATAACAAGGACCTGAGGCCAGAGGCAACATCAGGATTAGAGGTGATTATAATAACAAGCTGCTAAAAAATTAAAAATAATGAGCAGGCAAAGAAGAAAGAACCCAACCAGAGACAGTTGCTATAGGAATAGAGAAGACTGGGGTTTGTCTTCAGAGGAGGATACTGAAACAAAAATAGCCTCTCCCACCCCAAAGAGAAACGTCAAATGGTCACCTGCCCAAAAAGAGTTCATAGAAGAACTCAAAAAAGACTTCAAAAGTCAAATAAGAAAGATTGAGGAAAAACTTTAAAAAAAAATAACAATCTAAGAAAAACAAGACTGTGAAAAGTCAACCAACTAGAAAAGGAAATCCAGAATCATAAGGAAGAAAAGAACTCCTTGAAAATTAGAATTAAGCAAGGGGAAGCCAGAGAACTTATAAAACCAAGAAATAATAAAACAATATAAAGAGTAAAAAAAATAGAAGAGAATGTAAAACATGTTTTAAGAAAAACAACTGATCTGGAGAACAGATCAAGAAGAGAAACCATAAGAATAATCGGACTACCTGAAAGCTATGATCAAAAAAGGAATCTTGATACAATAAGGCAAGAAATATTTAAAGAAAATTGTCCTGAAGAGTTAGAACAAGAGGGGAAAATAGAAATAAAAAAAAATCTTCCGATCACCACCTGAAAGAGATCTGAGGAGGAAAATCTACAGGAATATCACATCCAAATTCTGAAATCCTCAGGTGAAGGAGAAAATATTATGAGCAACAAGAAAAAAAAATTCAAAAATGGTGGAGCCACAATTAGAATTACACAAGACCTCGCAGTGGCTACATTAAAAGACTGCAGGTCTTAGAACACTATATATTGAAGAGCAAAAGACCTGGGGTCATGGCCAGGTATACCCTGCAAAGTTTAGCATAATCCTGAATAAAAAAAATAGACATTCATTGAATTGACAGACTTTCAGGATTTTGTTGCAAAAAGACCAGGACTTAATAGAAAATTTGACATCCAAGACAAATATAAAGTAAACATCAAAGACTTATTACAAGGGACTCAATAAGAACAAACTGTTTATTTTTTATATGTGGAAATGTAAACCATATGTCCTAAGATTGTTCAAAAGAAAGAGTGGGGTAGAGCTGAGTATGATGTGATTCCAAAAAACAAAATGGTGTAAGAAAAGGTAAAAAGGAGTAATTATCTCATACAAATGAGGTGCAAGAGGAAGAATTGACACAGCAGAATTAGATGGGGCAGGAGGGCTGGTAGTTTTGGAACCCCACTCTCATTGGGAATGGATTGAAGAGTGAACAATACATACATACATACATACATACATACATACATACATACATACATACATGTATAAAAATCATCTAAATTCAGAAAGAAATAAAAAGGTAAGGTGATAGGGAGGTAGCAGAGAACAAGGGAGGGATTCTTAGAGGGAATCCTATTTACATCAGATCTGGGTTAAAAAGAGAACATAAATACATTTGGGTGGGTATAAAAGTCTTCTAAATTTGTAAAGAAATAAGGTGAGGGAATAGGATAGGGGGGAATAGAAGGGTAGGTAGATGAATGGGAATGGGATAAAGAGGGAATAACAGATATATTTGGAAGGGCATAAAAGTCTTCTAAATTCAGATAGAAACAAGAAGTCAAGGGAATAGATAGGTTGGAGGGAGAGGATAGGAGAGGGATTCATGGAGGGGTGTAGGTTAAGGAATAGGAGGTCAAAGTAGCAGGTAGAAGTAAAGCAGAGGAGTGAGAAGGGATAGGAATAGGGTGAGAAGGATAGTGAGGAAAATAGGAAGGAGGAAAATAAACAAAAAGTAAGTATAGCCTAGAATGTGAATGGGATGAATTCACCATAAGATAGAAACAGCAGATTAAACATTTGAATTCAACAGTACGTTGCTTTCAGAAAAGGCTATTTAAAAAAAAAAAGCAAGGGTAATAATCATGATCTCAGACAAAGTTAAAGCTATAATAGGTATAAGGAAAGGAGAAAAATAGGAAAACTACACTGTCATTAATCAATATTGTTTTAGCCTATTTAAAATTACCAGATAATATAAGGTTGGAATATCACTGTGGTATCAGAAACGATGAGCTAGTGGATTTAGAAAAGTATGGAAGGACTTGGACGTATGAAAGAAGATGCTATCCATTTTCAGAGAAACAGAAGACAAGTGGAAATAAGCATAGTATGGTCTTACATATATGCATATGTGTGTGATTATAGACATTTATGCATATGTATGTGTATATGTGTATGCATGTGTGTATATGTGTATGTATACGTATGTGTGTGCACACGTGTATGTGTATGTGTCCACACTCAATTGTGCCTTCTTGGGCGGGGGGGGAAGAAGGGGAGAAAAATAAAGTAAAAAGTGCATAGCAGAGAACAAAAGAAAACCTACAAGGAAACAAAAAAAAATGGACAGCTTTCAAAATAATGTGTAGTATTTATTATATAGGTTTTCTTGAAATGGAAATTTATTGTTTTATATTGAATCCTCTCATGTTCTGCTGTGTACATGGCCATTTTTTTCTTATTTTGAATTTAAGTTTAAAATAAATTTTAAAACCATTTTAAAAAATAAAAAGAAAAAAGTTAAAAGACAAAACAACATAAAGCAAAAAAACCCGAACAACATGCTTCTCACATCTACTGACTCATGCCTCCAACAAGGAAGAAAACCTGTCATTCAATAATTTAAGAGAAGGCTTAAAATGCCAATGCCCTTGAAAGAGAAGATAGCATTGACCTTCTTTCTTGATGGCTAATTCTTTCCCAGAGTACACTGGAGAAGAGGGGAGTGACCAAGAGGTTAGTGGCATTAGAAGAAGATAGGGAGCTCAGTCCCTTCACCTCTTCATCTCAGTGTTTCCATCACTGAAGTAAGAGTGGCAATTCTAAATCCCCACCCAACTCCCTGAAAATGCTATGTGAGTTAACAGAGCCTTTGACAAAGGAGAGAAAAGCTGGTCCCTCTTATTAACCATCCCCATCTCCCAATTCTGATCTTTCAAACTCATGACATTTACCTGTGAGTTTAGATTGAGGTTGGCACACCACAGAGTTTGGGGACAGGTCCCCCAAAGCGGTTCCCTTCTGAGGTCTAATCGTTTCCCAAAGGCCACTGCTGCTAAGGAGTCCTGAGTCTGCTGACCTGCAGAGTTCTGCAGATATCCCCAGAGGATGGGGTTGAGAAGTACGGTGGGGGCTGTGCAGGCAGTGGGGAGAACCGACTTCAGCAAGGTTGCTAGGCAATGGGGCTGGCATGGCAGGAGTGGAAGGACTGATACCTGGACAGAAAAAAGACATTTGTAAGAAAGAAACAAGACAAAGAAAAGAGGAAGGATTGGGGTGAGGGAGGGAGGTCAACAGGAAGATGGTTGGATGTTACTATGGGAAATAAATGGAGACCGAAGTGGTATATAGAAGGATTATGTGACCTTTGCACCAGGTGACATTCATATGAAATATCAGCCAGGTAGAGGGTTCACTCCCCCCCTCCCCACATCCCACCTCTTTCCATGGCAGAGAATTAGGAAATGACTTTGACTAGAGCGCTGCTGGCAATTGTAACTTTCACCTCAGGGACGAAACTTTGCAGAGTAAGAGGTGGGAAGAAGAAAAGGACTCCCACCATCCATGCTTAGGACAAGAGCCCTGGGACTTAAGAACTCGTTAATGAACCACGGAACGAGAGGGCAGAGCGTGGCACCACAGCCATCTGGCTAATCTTTCCAACTCTCACTTTAGAACAGTGGGAGAAGGCAGAGGACATAAAGTGTCACCTGAACAATGATGACATCACTGAGCTGTCTTGATGAGGCTCAGCCTCTAAATACGGACTTCTTTCTCCCCAGAGGCCAGGATGAGCAGGGAGCCCAATTTAAGTGCTTTTCATGGGGAACATAAGGAGGCACTATTTAAAGGAGACGTCATCCAGCTCCTGGGTAAAGAATGAGCCCTGGGGACTTCTTAGACAGGCTGACCTCTAAGCTTCTCTCTGACCAAGTTTCTGTGCAATGTGAACCTTTCCCCTGTCCTCTCTGGCATCTCTGATTATGCTTGTGTTCTTTGACAGAAAAGCCGGCTGGGGAGGCTGGACCTCAGGGAACATTCAGCTGATTCTGCTTCCTTCCAGGCAGCCATCAAGGCAATAAGAAAGGCAACAAACATTTATTAAGCACTTACTGAGTGCTGGGCACATAACCAGGGACAAAGGGTTTGTGACTGCGTAGAAATCCAAGAGATATCTTTGTTTCTGCCCTTCACCCAATCAGGGTACTTAGAGGGATTCATGTGCTTCCTTATTTCATCCCACTTACACAGTCCCTTCTTTTCCCTGATTTGAACAACATCCAATCAGTGTTCTTAGGGTCTCTGGGACTAGGGGGTGAGAGGGCCTAAGGCAAAGGTACAGACCAACAGCAGTCAACATACTTTTCAACCACAGTCTTAGAAATGTCTGCATATGTTAGTAAGCGAACTTGCAATGCCCACATATCCCACACTCCCCTTGCCAGAAAGCTCACAGCACATACAAACACACATGTGCTGTCAGGACACATGGACATCCACACAGATAAGCCTCTGTGCACGTTGGATAGCAACGTTTCAGTGACCGGCGAAGCTGCCATGCAAACCACAGCGTATGTTAAGCATATGCTTTCTGGAGCAGAGAAAGAGCCACACTGAGCAACGATGATGCATCCAAGGGTAAAATGGAGTTCACGTGTCTGACTCCAAGGCTCTGGGGAAATCTGATCTGACACTAATGCTCCAGCCCAAAGAAGCTAGAAAAGTATGGCTCAAAGAGCCGATGCCAGACCCTTTTTCCCCTTCAGAAATTACTTCATTCAGCCTTCCCATTCTGGGTGGAATTGTACTTGAAGCTAAGCCAGGTCAGGCAGACAAATGCTTCTCCTATTAGGGAAAGAGATTTCATAATCTCTGTGTCCTCTGGAAATAGGTCTTTGTTCAGCTAGGTTTCAAACTAGCAGTCTATGCTGTCTCGTTTGGGCTACATAGAGTCCCTCATGTTCCACTGAACTGAGCTCCATTTACCAATAGCCCAAAACTGACTATTGTAGAGTTAGATATGTAGTCTCATCCTGAGAACAAATTTGAAAAATCAAGGGTAGTGAGTCCAAGTGTGGCTGATTCTACACACTTCTAGTTTGGCACACTCACCCTTTCAGAGTCAATAATTTGTGGATTTTGGGCAAAAGGCTTCTCTAACACTGACCAGGTCTGTCTACTCAGTGACCAGCCCCAGCACCCCCCACCCCAGGCTTCTTACAGGTGGCATTTTCAAGTTCATTTAGTTTCTTCCTACAGAAAATACTCCCATAGTCAGAAATATTCATGGCTCTGCCAGATTGAGCAATCCATGGGGTGAAAAGGGTTTTGTTGTTTTTTTGTTTTTTATTATTTTGGCTATAGCTGGTCCCATGAAATTGACTTTTCAAAGAGTAGAGCCAACACAAGAACCAAGGCTTCTCCTGAAAGATGAGTAGCCCAAGATCTGGGGAGGGTGTGGATGGGACACAGTGAAGCAAAAGAGCCATCCTAGAATGTGCAGTACATAGCATTCACCCCACAAATCCCACATCCTGTTCTTCTGGTCTCTGGGTCTGTCACTCACCTGGTCAGTGGCAGACCAGATCAGACCCGACATAGCAGCTTCTGCAATGGGGAAAGAGGAATAGTTTGCCCTCTGCCTTCCTGGTCTGTCTCTTGGCTGTTTTTCGAGGCTGTTCTCAAGATGAGGCTACGCTGCTAATGAGCATTTTGCAGTTAGGAAGGATGGTATAGACTGGAAGGGGCCACTTCTCCCATCTTCTCCAGGGTCTCATCTAAAGATTCCACAGCACCAACCTCGTCGGAGGGAAGCGAAACCCTCCAACGTAGTAAAGGCTATTGCTTTCGATATTCTTGTATTCATATACAGCTATAATAAATGGACCATGTCTAACATCTCATGAATAAAGGCTTTTCACACACACACACACACACACACACACACACACACACACACACCTCTCAGACAATTGTGGTTGAATGAATGTCTGTATGTACCAAGCAAGCAGGGCCGCGCTGCCCCCAATCTGCTATTGCTTCAAGGTTTGCAAATATATATAGATATATTTTTAATTTTAAGCCACACGGTTTACTGCAAGCCATGCAGAGCCACATGCCACAGAGAGGGAACAAATCCACCGGGAGTCTCTCACTTTCTCCCAACTGCTTCTGTAGCATCTGTAACTCCTGTTGAGCCTCTGCCAACGAGAGCACCGTTGTCCCACAGCAGCCAAGGAGGGGAGGAGCGGCAGAGGGAGGGGGGCCAAAAGGCAGAAAGATGGAGGGGGTCGAGGAAAGTGGAGGCTGGCGAATGCCAACCGGCTTGGGGATGGAGTTAAAATAAAGGCCTAGAAACAAAGAAACAAAAACAAAAAAGATGGGGAGAAAGGGGGAAAAATCATTAAAGGGAGAGTGTGAGAATGAAGAGACAGACAGAGGCAGATAGACAGGAGGAGAGGGAGAAGAAAGGAGGAAGAGAGAGAGAGAGAGAGAGAGAGAGAGAAAGAGAGAGAGAGAGAGAGAGAGAAGGAGGGAGGGAGAGAGAGAGAGAGAGAAGGAGGGAGGGAGAGAGAGAGAGACAGAGAGGAGAGAGAGAGACAAGGAGACAGAGAGAGAAGAGAGAGAGAGACAGGGAGAGAGAAGAGAGACACAGAGAGAGACAAGCAGACAGGGAGACAGAGAGAGAAGAGAGAGAGAGAGAGAGAAGGAGTGAGACAGAGAGAAACAGAGAGACAGAGAGGGACAGAGAGAGAGAGAAGGAGAGAGAGAGACTAATTCCAGACAGTTGTAGAGTAAGGCTTGGTGTTTACTGAAAAGGCAAAAATTGATTTCTTACCTTCTGGGAGGCTTCCCTCTCCTTACCCCCACAGAACAGCCTTTTAAAATGTAGTCTGGGTTACCATGAAATCAAGGATCTGGCTTGATAAGAGCCAGATGACATTTCCCTACCATCTATCTGAGGCAGTGGACTAGCTCTCCAGAGTCTGATCACAGAAGGATTTTTGCTAAATACCAAGTTGTAGCGGCAGCGAGTGAAAAAAAAGGAGTGGTTTTGGAGTCAGAGGAAGGGGGCATATACGCATCCCAGAGGTGCTATTTACTGCCAATGCCATCCCAAGTAGGTCTTTTGCATCTGGTTCTCAGTTTCCTTGGCCATAAAATGAGGCTGTGTGAACAAGTTAGATGATCTAAGACCTTTCCATCTTTAAATGCTATGATCCTAAATGTCCTGAGCCTCTAAGATGCTGCTGATAACTCGCTAGCTCTGAGATTTGTCATTTTCATGTCATCTAAAATGCTGATGTTATTCTACCCAAGGGGACATTCGAAGGCTAAAATCAAAGACTTTGGCATTCTAATTTTTCTTCTGGTTTATCCTATAGAATGAAACAGTGCCTTGAACACAGTAGGTGATTCAATAAATATTTGATTTAAATTATCTGACCCCAGAGAAGTCACCTAGATGTCCAGTAACCTGCTTACTTAAGAGTATTGAAGCCCTAGTATTGGGCTTCCTCCTAATGATCTCCTACAGACACAGCCACTGAAGACCTCTTGCTTAAGGGGGATACATGGGACTTCCTTTTCCTTCAAATGAAAGCCAGACTATTCCTGAGAAAGATTAGGGCAGGCAGAAAATAAGCTCAGACCAAATTCTGGGGGAACCGCTGAAGTCAAATCCCATTGTGGAAATGAGGATAAGAAAAATAGCTCAAATTTACATAGTAATTTAACATTTCCAAAGTACTTTCTGCCCAAAATTTATCATCTTCATTTTACACGTGGGAAAATTAAGATATCTAAAGGCTGGGTGATCTGACCAAGATCACGTAGCCAGTGTCAGTCAGAACAAGCACTTGAGCTCAGATCTGACTCCAAGGACACTCTGCTTTTCAGACTCCACAGCTGCTTCCCAGAACGAACAGAAGCTATGACACCAATGACAACGGTCATCTGGAGGTCTCTGGTTGGACATCGAGCTCTCTAAAAGTTTAGTTAGACCGATGATTCAAATCCAAGCTTCAGCGGCCTCTTAGTAAAGTAGCTACTTTCAACCCTCTGTCCTCAGGGTCCCCATGAAAAATGGAAATGAAAATACTCATTTAAAGAAATCAGTTTAACAATAAACTGGTGCATATCACCGCCATTACCCCAGAAAGAAATAGGTAAATAGAGGTCAGAATCTGTTATAAAAACTACCATTACAGAGAAGTCTCTGCGTAAAAATAAGATTTTCAAATCTAAACCAGTGGATGCCACTCATATTCTGTAAAATTAATACAATATTCCAATACAGGCATAGAGTTGTGGCTATTCCTAGAAGTTTTCCATAAAAAAAAGCTAACCCATGTGAACCCTTAACCATCCAACTGTTTATTGAAGCCAGACGGAGGAAGGCAAATTTGAACAGGTAGAGCTGGGTGGAGTTCTGGGGCAAGGATGAATTTTTGATGTCCTGCCTGCCTCTTCAGGAGGCTGCTGTCCCATACCTGTATGGGCATACCTGCACGTGCCTGGCTGGCCTCCTTGGGGGGTTTCTGAGAAGATGGCATGGTTGCGGGGATGCTGCTGGATTCCTTCTTAGCCCCATGAGATGTAGTGGCAGAGGATGGGTTAGATGAAGGAGCTGCATTGTTACTTGAATGATGGATGGAGTCTACAGAACCCATGAGTGAAAGAGAAGGTTTTGTGTTATACAGAGCAGTGCAATTCTGACTGTTTTCTCAGGAAATACTAGGGGGCCAGAGTGTCACCCATATTGAACACAGAAAACCAACCCTATAGATCACCTTATTCATATCTATATTTCCTTGAAAAGAGGATCTATATTTGGAATGGAGATACCTCATTGGACAAGCCATCTCGTATAAGATGTGGCCTAGAGCCCTCGATGATGGATGTTCCAAAAAGCAGTGAGGTAGGCTGATGGAAGCTTTGGATGATAAAAGATACCTAGAGAGCAGATTGTTTGGGAACTAATCAATAGCAAGGTTGGCACAGGTGAGACGGAAATTTACTACAGAGGGACTGATGCACGGGTTAGCCTTTGATATGAGAATGAGGCCATGACCTTCCAAGTGAGCATGGTAAGATATTCTGTGTTGTGTCGTCAGTAGAGATAGAGAATTTACAACGATCCAGACGTTGTCTCTCCTCATCAATCACCCTCTCTCCCTTACAACCATCCTGGTGACCCATAGGATGCTTTTGAGAAAAGGTAGTAGGACTTTGAGATGAACTCTGTAAGCCTACAACATGGCAAAGCTAACTGGCCCAATGGGACACGAGCCTCAAACCCAACAGCACCGTTCTTTAAGCAGCTCAGAGCGATCTGCAAATCTCTCTCTAGAACACGGTGGGAGTAAGCACCCAGAGCTCCGAGGCTTACCCGGGAGGCTGGTGGGAGCTTTGTCGGCACAGTCTTCTTCATACTGGGTATACTCGCTGGCCACGTCCATGTCTGAGCTGGCTTCCATCTCCTCAGATAGGAAGGAGGCGCTGCTGGGGGAGCGATGGGAGTCGGAGAGGGCATGGCTGCTGCAGGGAGTCAGGGATCGAGCATTGAGTTTGGACTGCAGGGCTTCAATCACTTTCTCCTTTTCTTGTAGCTCCCTGCTGAGCCTGGTGGTAAGGAGAGGACAGAAGATGAAGGCACAGTCAAATGCCAGCGACCACTGCCACAGCCGGCCCTTCTGGAAAGCTCATGAACGGGACCCCACAGGCAGAAGAGAAGATTCCTTCAGGACGGGTAAAAAAACTCATTACACCTCTTAGGTTGGTTGAGGGGAGCAGAGGGGAATGAAGAGCAGTGACTCAGAATACTTGCCAGTGTAGCAAGAGCAGGGAGGTGATGGCGCCAAGCAAGGCACTGGTGAGATGGATGTGTGTCAACTAGCAGACCCAAAGCTTTGCAATAAACTGGTCAAAAAATATTTTTTTTCTCTGCCCGGTCAAGTATAATGGTGCCCCATTTTAAATCCAAATCCCCTTCTAAGGTAAGGCAGTTTTTGAGCTCTCCATCTCTTAAGACATTTCATTACGGTATTCAAACCGGTCCCTGAGAAATATAATCACCTCCTAATTGTTCTTCCTGCTCATCTTTCCCTTTTCCAACCCATCACACACATAGCTACCAAAGATATCTCCCTAAAGCATACGCCTGCCATATGAAAAAATGCTCCAAATCACTAATAGAGAAATGAAAATTAATGCAACTCTGAGGTTCTACCTCATACTCATCTGATCAGCGAAGCTGATAAAAAGGGACAATGATGAGCGTTGGAAGGGCTGCAGGAAAATAGGCATATTGATGTGGACTGATGCAGCTGGAAAGCAGTCCAGCCATTTTGGAAAGCAATTCAGAACTACTCCCCAAAAGTTACTAGACTGTAACTGTGCCTTTGACTCAGGGTATAGAATGAGACATATATTTTTTGGACATGGCCAATGAGGGAATTTGTTTTTCTTGACTATGCATATTTATTACAAAGGTTTTTTGGTTGTTCTTCACACCCCCTCCCTATGGGGTGGGAAGATGGGAAAGAGAGAAAATAGATTTTTGTTAATCCAAAAATTTTTTATTTAAAAAATAAAGCAGAGGCTCTTTTTTACCATGTAGCTCCCCTACTCGTTAAACACCAGTGGTTCTGTATTACCTCTAAGACAGCATTTAAAGCTGTTTACCACTTGGCCCCCTCCTCTCTTTCCAGTATGTATATATGTGTGTGTGTGTATGTATGTATGTATGTGCATATACATACACATAGACACATACAAATACATATATAACATACATATATATATATATACACATATATGCATGCACTCTGAGTCCATCACCTCTGAGTCAAAAGGTAGATAACACTCAATCTCCAGTCCTCTGGAATTGTGGTTCATCATTGGACTGATCAGAGTTCTTAAGTTTTTCAAAATTGTCTTTACAATGCTGTTATTATATAAATTGCTCTCCTAGTTCTGTTCATTTCACTCTGCATCAGTTCACATGAATCTTTGCAGGTTTTTCCTGGAATGGTCCCCTTTATTTCTCACAGTGCAACAGCATTTCTCTGCATTCATATGCTATTATTTGCTTACATTCATATGCTATAATTCGCTCAATCTGTGTGTGTGTGTATGTGTGCGTGTGTGTGTTTGGATAGATAGAAAGACAGAGAGACAGGCAGACAGACAGATAGATAGATGTACATGTTGTAGAAAGGATGTTACCATTAAACAGTTACCAAGATATTAGAAGGCCAATGATATTTACAGAAATATCTGGTTCTCACTTGGGTCTTCAAAAAGAAAACGCAGATCAAGGAATGATATTTAGTGATTATGAAACTTTGGGCATGTAAATCAACTTCTCTGAGCCCAAACATCCTCATCTATAAAATGAGGGTATTGAACAAGATGATCTCAGGGCAGCTAGTTGGCGAAGTACATACAGCACCGGTCTTATAGTCAGGAAGACCTGAGTTCAAATTCAGCCTTAGACACTTGCTAGCTGTGTGACCCAGGGCAAGTCACTTAACCACAACTGCCTCAAAAAGAAAAAAAAAGAACAAAATAATCTCCGGAGCCCTTTCCAGCTCTAGATCTAAGACCAAAGGCTTCTTTCCAAGACTACACCATGCGTCTTCATTGTCTAAAGTCTCCTGGGGCCTACTTAGTTGATCTTTTAAATCTGACTTAGGTTACTAAGCTTGAAAAATGAATAGGCAAATGAAAACAGATATGATGATGTCAAAATAAAGGGAAAAAAAGCAAGCTTTCTACACAAATGAAAATGTTTACATGTGTAAAGAGCAGTCTCTATTTTTCAGCCATTTTTCACTGTTGTAGGAAACACAACTGTCTTTAACCTCTCCAGTCTCCCTTCTGTTTAAAAGAGGTCACCCATCACTCAGTCATAGTTTAAATTTACCTGAGGGCCAGTAGATCGTGGCTTGAATGATCATCCACCTTTCCTCGATCCTCTGGAAACAAAATCCAGATAGGTTTAATTAGAAATAAAAAAAAAAATCACCCTATATATGCAGGTAAACAACGGGGGCTACTTGGAAGAAGAGAAATGATCCCCTTCGCTTGGATGTGGGCTGGGGGTGCTCAGGGCAGGTCACCTTCCAACACACTTTCATTCTCCTTTCATTGTTTGATGGTCTTCAGGGGAACTGGCCGGGTATACTTCATAAGGTCATGTCAATAGGTAAGAATTTCAACAGGGTGAGAGGTTACTCTTGCTTCCTTCCCAACTCTTAAGGACTATGGTAATACGGGAATCCTTGCTGGTTTTCAGGGCCTGGAGAGGTAGATACTGTTTCTCTATATTCCCCCTTCTCTTACTTGTTCCCACTCCCCCACCCCCACTCCCTTTTCTGGAATACCTAGAAAACTTCCAGCTCCCTAGTGAATAAGATGAGACTTTGCCCTTCCCAATAAACACCTATTGGGGGTGGGGAACCTGCGGCCTTGAGGCCACATGTGGCCCTTCTAGGTCCTCAAGTGGGACCTTTTGACTGAATCCAAATTTTACAGAGCAAATCATTTTATTAAAGGGATTTGTTCTGTGATGTTTGGATTCAGTCAAAGGTCGAACCTAAGGACCTAGAGGGCCACATGCGGCCTCCAGGCCGCAGGTTCCCCACCCCTGGCTTAGTGTAATGGTGCACCAGATCCAAGGGATGGTCTCTCTAAGGATCAGTTTGGCCTCCCTCTTCCCCAATCCTGCCATAACCTGAAGATCATGGTTTCTGAGGCTCTGGTCACATCCTCTCTTGCATCTGTTCTCCCTGTATCTTTGTATCACTTTGCAGGTGTCTGTCAGGTGCTGCCCTTTTTGGGGGGGGGGCAGTCAAGGGTGTTGACCTAGTAACCTTCCTTTGGTGACCTGTCTTTTCACCCTGAGGTATCTCCAAAGATAAACCATGTAAACTTTCTGGCGTGGATTAAAACATGCCAAATAAAAACCTGTTGGCTTTCCATCACGGGCTGGTTTAATTCTTCTGCAAAGCCCCCTTCAAATCCCAGAGCAGTTATAACAGACTGGAGACAAGGACAAAAAAAATCCTCATAAGGAAACCCACAGCTTCACAGTCCTGCCATTGGCCTGGTCTCAGATGCATGGCTTCCCTTTTGGTCTCTGAAGAGTATTACAATCATAACCATACTTGTTGAAACTGGTAGGACAGACCCACCCATCCCAATTTTGTCCTTGTCTTTTAGGCAAATCCATAACCCCACACCCCCCTAATCTTCCCAAGCCCATGTCTTATTCTTTCTTTGCTGCTCACTATTGAAATTAATTTCATAAAAAAGTCTTAACTCCCATTAGTAATAATCATATGCCACCTTATATCCATATTATACTTTACTATTTGTAAGAATGAGGTGATATCTCCCTCCACCCTTAGTAAAACATAAACTCCTTGAGGGCAGGCATTATTAGGTCATTTTAAAAATCTTTGTTCCCCAAGCACTCGACACACAGTGCCCTGCATGTGGCAGGCAACTTGAGATAATTATTGAATTGAATTGAGAAACTAAGCTGCAATGGCATTATAAGCCCTCTCCCCAAATGCCTAGCAGTATTGTGTATCTCTCCTTGCTCCCTCTGCCATCACCTGGCCACTCCTGGAGAACCAAGCATCATCACACTCCATGCTATACTCCTGACTTTCCACGTGCTATAAAAACCAAGTTATTCACTCTGGAAGCCCCCTCTAGACCCCTGGACTGCTTACATTGGAAGTACCCCCTGTTCTTGAGGACCTCTCCCTTCTGATCAGCTGGTTCCTCCTGGAACCTCCATCTTAAGGAGGGCCCGGCCAACCATGTCAGCATTCCCCTCCGGGCTTCACTCCTAATTCTACACACGGGATTTTTTTCTAGCATTCCCCCTTCTCCCTCCCACCTGCTGGGTGCCTGAACACCCACCCCTTTCTTTTCAGCTACCTCGTAAGTGTCGTCTTCCCCTATTAGGATGTAAACTTCTCAAGGGTAAGGAGTGTCTTTCTGCTTGCATTTGTATAAAACTGCCAAGATCTTAGGAGAGACTCTAGAGCTGATGCCCGGCAAGCACGCTGTGCCCTGAGCTTGGTATAACAACAATCCTTTGCACTTCTCTCTGGCAAAATCACATAATTATTGCATTGCTTCGGCCAGCACCAGGTGTTCTCCGAGCTCAGACAAGCACCTGTAGGACCCATGTTCCGATCACGAAGCCCTGCTATGAATCAGACTTGTCTCGTTGTTGCTGTTACCTCTCATTGTATACATAGCCACTATATAAGTATTGAGATCTCCCCACACCCTCTCGGGTTTCCCCAACTAGGGGCAGGGCCCCAGCACATGTCCTTGCTTGCAAGCCATTTCTCTCACTTTGAAATTAAATTTCTGTTTGATTCCTGACTCTCCTGTCTCTGGCCCACTGTGTTCGGCTCCGGCCATCCACAGGTTAGAGGCTGTGATTGACTGACAATACACTCTTAGTACAGTGTCTGGGACAGAGTAACTGCTTAATAAATGCTCGTTGACTTGCTCCTATCGACCGATCGCTTTCTTCCAGTCGGCTCCCCTGGTCAAATGTCTAGGAACCTAGTAGAACCAGGTACAAAAAAGGCTTATCATGGAAGCACACTTATGTCGGGGGTGCGGTGGGTTTGAAATGGGCTAAATATCTCTAGCAGATGCCCACGGGACAACTTACTGGTGTTGAGTTTACTGGTGAGTCTTTCTGCTAACTGGCTCCCCTGAGCAAGCTGCTCCCGGAAGCTCTGTCCCAAGTAGTAGTCAATGTCCGTGCCTCGGAGGAGGTCCTCAAAAGACTTAACAGTGTCCTTGAGGTGCTGGGTGAGGATATGGCACACACCTCTCCCTTCCCGTATCTTCTGGCGCAGATGGGACAGCTCTCTGGCCTGAGCCTGGATCAAGGAGTCGTATTTCCTGATGCGCGAGGGAGGGGGAATGAAGAACGAAGGTGAAAAGGGAGGTTCATGTTATTTCTTGGGATGCTGGGAGACAGTCTGCTAGTCCCCACGGAGATCCCCTTCCTGTCCTAGGCAGAATTTTGTCACAGACACTGAGAATCAGCTGTGTCAATGGGCCATGAGGAGAAACCAAAGGATAACAATGAAAGGAACATACCCAATCCAACTGACTCTAGAGCTCGGGCCTTTGGAGGCCTCTAATAAGGAAAGGAGAGTACCCAATCCAACTGACTCTAGAGCTTCGGCCTTTGGAGGCCTCTAATAAAGAACAAGGAAAGTACCCAATCCAACTGACTCCAGCGTTTGAGCCTTTTCACTGTAACTAAGAAGGCCCGCCCTCAAAGAGAAGGTGACTCTCGGATGCCGCCAAATACCCTGTACTCCCACATTTAGTGGGGTGAGGAAGAAGATGAGACACATCGACCCTCCCCCCTTTACACTTTAATACTAACTTACACATGTGTAGCACAACAATCCTGTGTGATAAATAATGCTTTACTATCCCTATTTTACAGATAAGGAAATCGAGATTTTAAGAGGGAAAGTGACATGCCTTTAGTCATACTAAGCTGCTAAATGTTTGGGGTGGGATTGAAACCCACCCCAAGCCCAATCCAAACCCAATGCTCTATCCATTATATTTTATTAAACCAGTATAATATATATAGATATAGATATAGATATAGATATAGATATATAGATATTATATTCTGCTACCCCACAAAGAACTTCCCTTGTCAGGATGTCAAGAGGCAGCATGTCGTAGAAAGAGACAGAATGCTGGACCTGCAGTGGGAAAATCTGGATTCAAATCTTTCTTTGCTGGGCAAAGTCCTAGGCAAGTCACTCAACCTCTGTGCCTCAGTTTCCTTATCTGTAAAATGAGGGGGTGTGACTTAAATGCCTTTAAGGCTCCTTCTAGTTCTCAGTCTAGGATCCTACTTGTAAAAACTCCTCCTTTACCACCTCTTTGTTCCCACAAGGAAAATCTAGTCCTATAAAAATAGCTCAAAAGGATTTTAACTGCTTTCTCTCTCTTGGCTATATATACATTCCATCACACCGTAAGTACTCACTGGGTTTATAGAGTGGGTGAATGCAAAACTGTGTATATATATATATATATATATATATATATATATATATATATATAAAGAACAATAATGTGTTATAAGGGAAAGGGATGATGCTGTGGCCCCAGGGATTCTTGGATCTTAAGGTCTTGAAGAGTCACCAGTAAGAAGGTGAATGAGGCAAAGAGTCAATTTAGCAAACAGTATGAAGTTTCCACTGTTTGCAAGGCTGGAAAGCTTACGTTCTCCTGAAAGAAGAAGCCAGAATTATCATAGAATGAAATTAACACAAGCCCATAGCTAATGTTGAAATATGTTTTACCTGACTCCATATTGCTTTCATTCTCAATGGGTGGGGGAAGAGTAGGAGGGAGGGAATTTAGAACTCGAAATTTTTTTTAATGTAATGTTTTACATGTAATTGGGAAATATTTAATGAAATAAATTTAAAATATATTTTTAAAAAGTTAAAAAAATAACCCCATGGGCCAGCAAGAAGGTAATTAGTAGTAACCTCCCTCTTCATCCTACTCTACACCTCAAAACCTCTTTGGGTACTAACCCACCCAACCCAATCCCAGAGAGCATTGCAGTGAAAAGAACACAATGTTTGTAATCAGACACCTGGCATCAAATCCTGGCTCTGTCACTAACTCCCTGTGTGATCTGAGCAGGTCCCTTCCCCTCTCCAGGCCCCCTGTTGTTGTTTGTCCTTCAAACTAGAAGAGGACCATGGCATCAGGGAGGTGATGCCCATGACATGCAAGTGAATTGGGTTTAAGTGAGGCAGGGCTGTGCAAAGAAACCAGCCTCACTTTCTCCTCTGTAGCCATCTGGGTCCAGTGGACAGATATAGATCAGGGGGACTGGAGATGGCCCAGGAGGCAGTGGGGAACCTTGGCCTTTTCAAGCTAAGGTCTTTAACAGGTCTCAGGTTTGACTTGAAGTAAAACTCATTCAGTGATTAAAGCTTAATATGAAGTGAGGCAGAGAATGGCTTCTTACCTAGTAAAATAAATAAATAAATGAATGAATAAACAGATAGATTGATAGGTAGATAGGTAGGTAGGTAGAGAGAGATTAGATAGATAGATAGATAGATAGATAGATAGATAGATAGATAGATAGATAGATAGATAGATGACTGAATGAATAAATAAACAAATGAAAATAAGAGGGAAAAAACAGATCTGAGAGGGAAAGAACCTCAGGGTTTCTGGCCAGAACAGAGATAATTGCTATTTACATTCATTCTGAGCCAATCAAGGCCCAAACAATGACCTAGAAGGACTTGGCCAGGGACTTACTGTTGCCCAGTAAAATGAGGGTCGTGGAGTGGATAAGACCTCTGAGGTCCCTTCCAACTTTAAATCGGTAATTATGCTCCCAACTCAAACTCAGCCTTCCTCTGGTTCTGCCCTCCTGAAATTGGTTTCCCCCTTACCCTGGCCAGGTGGCTGATTTCAGCTCCTCCGCCAGCTTCCCTTCCACCTGGGATTTCGGAAGTTGGGCCTCCAACAGGGATACTCTCTGGATGAGTTTCTCCAGATCTTTTCTGGCCTGCATCTCAGGTGGGCAGAAGACCCCCATGCCATCAGATTGCCACCCCTCATCCTCATCCGTGAGGCTGTGGGATGGGGAGGACGTGAGATCACCACCCTTCAGCTTCATTTTTCTGGGCCTCTCCAGGCTAGAAGCATAGTCGCTGGTGACAGAGAAAGAGCGCACTCGGCATTTGAGATTCTGGATGACCTTGTCTGAGTTTTGCAGCCTCGCTTTCAGGTCTCTGATGTGCTGCTGGAGGACAGCAATGTCCTCTGATTTTCCATAGTCCAAGAAATCCTTCTGTTTCCCCAAGGGCTTCTTCAGAGGGGAACTGGTCAGTGCTGACCCCAGAAAATTGTACTGAGAGTGTAAGCCCTCGGGTAGCCTGGCGTCGCTGAAGACATCGTGCTCTTCACACTCTGTGAAAGACAAAAGAATTTACACTTAAGTCGCATTTCATGGTCTATAAAAACAAATAAAATATATAATAAATAAAAATAAAATTTACCCACAATGACCTTGTATGATAATATAACAGAGAATTCCAGTTCTTGGGCAAAATCATTTGGTTGGTTGGGAGGAGCCAGAGACCTTGGGACAAGTCAAGGCTACTACCTGCTGCCATTTCTACTGGGACCCAAGAGACAGGAGTGATGATAAGGGAATACTGAAGTGCTCTGACCTGGGTCGCAGTAGAAAGAGTGCTGGCTTCAGATGAAATCAGTTCAAACTGCTTTGTCAGTTACTTAACTACCTCCATCACCTTAATCAAGTCACACCACCTCCTAGAGTTTCAGTTTCCTTATCTATACAAGGAGTGTTAGATTATCAATCAATCAATCAACAAGCACTTAATAAATACTTAAAATATGCAGGTACTGTGCTAAAACTCTGGAAGTACTAAGAAAAAGCCAAAACAGTCCCTGCCCTCAAGGAGCTTCCATTCCAGTGAGTGAGAGGACATATACGTAAATCAGTACATACAAGGTGGATTCAGAGAAGACAAAAGGTAGTCAGAGAGAGAAATGTACAAGCCAGGAGAGGTAGCCCCACCGTGAGTGGGTGTGATAAAAACGTAGACCCAATCAAGGAGACTGAGAAGGAAGAGAGAGACAGGTAGGAGGAACACCAAGACAGAATCCTTGAAAGGATGAAAACGCAGCTGAGTGTGCAACAAGAAAAGCTCGGCAGCGGTGTCAAATGATAGGGAGAGGCCAAGAAGGATTAAGGCGAATCAAAGGGATTTTCTTGGCAAACATACTAGAGTGGTTTGCCATTTTCTTCTGCAGCTCATTTTACAGAGGAGGAAACTCAGGCAAACAACATTGAAGTGACTTGCCCAGGGTCACACAGTTGTTAAGTGTCTGAGGCTGGATTTGACCTCAGAAAGAGGAGTCTTCCAGACTCCAGGCCCAGTACTCTATCCGCTGTACCACCTAGCTGCCCAATATCAATAAGAGATTATGACTAACTTTAAAGAGAGCTATTTCAGTTGGATGCATTCAGAAGTCAGACTGCAGAGAGTTTAGAAGAGAGTGAGAGGAGAGGGGGAAGAAGCAGGAAGCATAGATGAACTTTTCAAGGATTTCAGCTTAGAAGGGAGCAGGGCTATGGAATGATATTTTGCAGACCGTGGTAGATTGAGAAAGGAGAATGTAGCCGGAGCAGGAGTGGTGTCTTGGGAGAGCATGGAGGGACTGATGAGTTTTAGGTGGAGAAAATGCAAAGATAAAAGATTAGGATCATACCAGGGAAATTCAGCGCTCTCCAACAGGGAAGTATAATATTTGGGGATGATGGCGTGATGGAGGATTTGCTCATCCCTGTGTAGCTAATGCGGAATGAGCATGGACATGAGAAGACAAGATATTTAAGGGAACACCCAGCTCTAAGTCCATGACCCAATAATCTTCTCCTCAGGGGAAATTAAAAATAGGCAGTTGGTGCCTCAGTGGAGTGAGCACTGGACCTGGAGTCATGAACACCTGAATTCAAATTTGGCCTCAGACACTCACTAGCTGTGTGACCCTGGGCAAGTCACTTAACCTATGTTTGTCTCCGTTTCCTCCATTTTAAAACAGAGACAATAATAGCACCTCCCTCACAGAGTTGTTGTGATGATTAAAGAAGATGATATTTGTAAAAGGGCTTAGCACAGTGCCTGGCACACAGAAGGCGCTATATAAATGCTTATTCCCTTTCCTTGACCCTCTCCTCAGACTGCCAGTATCTGAGGTGTTTCCCTTCCCTGCAGCAGTCCTCACTCTTTCTCTTGCCAGGTAGAACCACTCTGGGGAGGAAGCATTCTCCCCAGTTCCAAGGATGTTGGTCCTCTGGGACCAAGGTCCAGGGACCCCTTCTTAGCTATGGCTCTGGAAGGATGCAGTTAAAAGTATTATTATCCCCGGTTTACATCTGAGCAAACTCGAGTTCAGAGGGGAAGTGCCTTGACCATGGTCACCAAGCTAGTAAGTGTCCGTCGGATTCCAAGGTCATTCTGGTATGAACCTTTAAGGAGGCAGGACCTTCAATGTGGGACAGGGAAAAAGCTGGTTAAGACACTAGACAAGCCTCATATTTTTATTTTGAAGACTTTCCCAAGAACAGCAGGATAAATGGTTAGCCAGGAACCAAAACCTCCACAGTCCTACAATATTCCAAAGACTCAAAAGTTCTTCCGTATCAGTCACTGACAAGCATTTTTTTTAATCTTCTATTTTTATTCTGATTCTAGGGAAATCAATTGATTGGGTATTTTATGTCTTTCTCATTGGCAGCATCAAAAACATGATGTTAAGACTATACGAAACTAGCATACATTCCTTTTTTGAGATAAATGATATGTCAATCTTCTGTTTTTATATCACCTACATTTCCCAATGTATCCCTTTCCCCCTTTTCCCCACTCTCTGACAGCCATCACTTATGACAAAAAAATTAAGAGGGAAAAAAACATTTTAGCAAAACTAACCAATATGTTAAAAAATTCTACTTATATGTATGTATATGTGTGTAAGTATATATATATGTACATATATATGTATGTATATGTATATGTAGTATTTCATATCCACAGTCCTCCACAACTGCAAAGAGTAGGGGGTGCCCACCCTCTTTCTCTCCTTACACTGGCCTCCATAAAAATACCCTCTGTCCATAATCATTTCACATTATTGAGCTGATTGGTGAAGGAAGAAGGGCAACTTTGCTAAAGATCTGAGTGGCAAAGCTGGCTTTCATGGAAGAAGATACGCACAAGCATACGCACACCCACCTCCTCTCTGTCTCTGTCTCTCTGTCTCTTTCTGTCTCTCTGTCTCTGTCTCTCTTCTCTCTCTCTTTTGTCTCTCTCCTCTCTCCTCTCTCTTTTTCTCTCTCCTCTCTTTCTTCTCTCTTTCTGTCTCTCTTCTCTCTCTTCTGTCTGTCTCTCTCTCTCCTTTCCCCTCTTTCTCTGTCTCCTCTCTTTCTTCTCTCTCCCTCTCTCTCTCTCCCCCCCTCTCTCTCTCTCTCTCTCTCTCCCTCTCTTTCTCTCCTCTTTCTCTCTCTTTCCATTTTTTTTACCAGGGCTGGTGGTTTCTTCTCGCTCGGCCTCATTCTCACTCCGGCCACACGTCTCGTATCCCAAGTCCTGGAGATCCACCTGGACCTGCTTGCTGTCCTGTTTCACCCCGGGCTCACCTGGCCGAGAAGAGAGAACGGTTGTGTCTGTCACAGCCTCTACTCCCTGTTTGTCTTGTAGCATCATCACTATCATCATCCCAGACTGACTGGGCATCTCACTTCTGGAGCTCGACACATGATTTGTTCAGACTCTTACACAAGAAGTTACTTCCTGCTCCATCCATCACTGATGGGGGAGAGGCCTCCCTCACAGGACAACTAGAAAGAGTACCAGGTTTGAAATTGGAAGACCTGAGGGAGGGCTGTGCCATTTGCTAGCTATATAACAGCAGATACAAGTCACTTTGCTGCTCTGAGTCTCTGTTGTCCTCATCCAAAAAATGGGTATTTTTTTCCCTACTTACACCATCTACCACATGGAGTTGCCATCAAACTTAAGAGAGTTGGAAAATACATAAAAAAAAATGTTGTAACCATGTAAGGTGTAACTTTAATGAGCCCTGCGTTAACGCTTGCTTTTGCTCAGATCCATATATTATTCAGGCACTTGTTTTAGGTTTCAGCTCTGAAGATGGGTGAGGAGAACTTAACTGAGGAACAAACTGGAAATCTTAAGTGATCCAGACCAGCGGTCATGCCATCAGTTTGTGAAGGACGATAGACTGGTATGTATGGATGAAGAGGGGTCCATTAGCCTGCCCTTAGAGAGGCAGAATGGCCTTTATCAGAAATCCAAAAGTCTGAATTTAGCTCCAGTCCTGCTTAGAACACAAACTGGATCGAATTGCTTCAGATCATTGAGCCTCAGTTTTCCCATCTGCAAAATGGGGTAAAAAAAATTCCCTTTTTCCTCCTTTCCAGAAATATGGGAAGGACAGAATTAATATAAAAGAATTTTTTAAAAGCCTATAAAGTATTTTGAGCTCTTCAGAGAAATCTAACATATCTATCTACTACTAACATCTAAGGTAATGCACAATTCATCAATTTGATGACTTTATTAACCCAGAACTTACGAAACAAGACTCGGTACTGCTCCAGCTGGCTGGCCTGGACTTGGACGGTAGCTTCGGACACCAGCAGTTTCTCCTGGAGATCTTGGTAGCGTTGTCTACACTGTTCCAGCTGGGTGCGGAGCTGGTGAGTTGGCCCCTGTGGACTAGATTCTGCTGGTGACCCATTGCTACTGAACTGGCCTTGGCTGTCCACCTGAGAGAGCCAAAAAGGGAGGGTTTGTCAATAAAGAGACTCAAGAGAAGAAGGGGTATTTAGACCGGAAAGTATAAGATACTGAGCAGGTGCCTAATTACTGTCTTTAAGGATGGGAATGGTAGTAACATGTAAGAGCGCTCATGCTTGGCAGATTCAGGCTTAAGGTAAAGAAAAAAGCTTCTAAATAATTAGATCTGTACAAAAATGGAACAGGCTGCCTTGGGCGGTGGTGAGCTCCCCAAAACTAGTTTTCAAGCACAGACTGGATAGCTATTCATGATTGTAGTTAAGTAGTGCAGTGGATAGAGCACTGGACCCAGAGTCAAAAAGACCTGAGTTCAAATGCAGCCTTAGACATTTATTATCTATGTGACTTAGGAAAAATCATGTAACTTCTGTTTGCCTCAGTTTCCTTACCTGTAAAATGAGGATAATAACAGCACCTACCTCCCAGAATTGTTGTGAGCATCAAATGAGGTAATAATGATAAAGCACTTAGCAAATCTGGGCAGCACATTTAACAAGCAGAGACATCACCTTGCTAACAAAGGTCCACAGAGTCAAAGCTATGGTTTTTCCAGTAGCACTGTATGGCTGTGAGAGTTGGACTATTAAGAAAAGCTGAGATCTGCAGAATTGATGCTTTTGAACTGTGGTGCTGGAGAAGACTTTTGAGAATCCCTTGGACAGCAAGGAGATCAAATTAGTCAATAATTAAAGAAATTAATTCAGGCTATTCCCTGGAAGGCCAAATACTGAAGCTTAAATACTTCGGCCACATAATGAGAAGATAGGACTCATTGGAAAAGACCTTGACATTGGAAAAGAGTGAAGGCAAAAGGAAAAGGGGACTCCAGAGGATGAGATGGATAATGTCATGGAAACAATGAATGTAAATTTGGACAGACTCTATGGTGGAGATTAGAAGGATAGAGGATAGAAGGAGGATAGTAGGATGGTCCATGGGGTCATGAAGAGTCGGACATGACTCAGTGACTGAACAGTGCTGGGCACATAGTAGGTGCTATATAAATACTGGCTATTATTATTATTGTTATCATCCTAAAATGAGCCTAGGAAGTATTAATCCATCATTCCTACTCATTCCCACCCCCAGAGTTAAATTCTAGAGTAGGGAGAGAGAGATTGTAAAAATACTTACACAAAAGAAGTAGCCAACATTTATCTTTTGAACAAAATTAGAAAAAACATCAGTGAAAACAGTAAACTCTAAGAGCTCCATCGTTAGAGCAAGGAGCAGAGTCAGGAGGCCAGCAATGAGGGCAGTGAGCTGAGTGTTAATATATAATCAGAGGTATTACATAGACTCATGCCAATTGGCTATTATACCTGGTACAGTCAGCCTGCCTAGAGGGGCCACTCGCCAACTTCTAAACTACTACTACAACTACTAAAATGAGATACTAGATGTGCCTTAGAAGGTGACTGAGTTCCCGATCACTAAAAATGTTTAAGTAGACGATTGTCAGAGTTAATAAAGGAGAACAGAATCACAGAACTTGACAAGTTGGAAGGGATATCCACATTCTTTTAGTCCATACACAAGAAGATTCCCCACTCTAACATACCCAACAAAGTAGTCATCTGACCAGTTTGAAGACCCACCACTACCACCTCCAGCAGATTAGGAACCCATCACCTTGCAAGGCAGGCTGTTCCACTTTTGGACAGTTCTAATTAGAAAGTTTTTCTTGATTAGTTGCCTCTTTGCTGCCTCTAATTGGCTCCTGGGTCTTCCCTCTGAGTCTAAGCAGAATAAACCTAATCTCAATTCCATATAACAAAGCCTTCAAAACTTAAAGACATCTCTCATGTCCTCCTTGGGTCTTCCTCTTCTCCAGACTAAATAGGTTTTTGTTGTTCAATCATTTCAGTCCTGTCTGACTCTTTGTGACCCCATTTGGGGTTTTCTTGACAAAGATACTGGAGTGGTTTGCCATTTCCTTCTCCAGCTCACCTGACAGAGGAGGAAACTGAGGCAAACAGGGTTAAGTGGCTTGATCAGGGTCACATGACTAATAAGTGTCTGTGGCTGGATTTGAACTCAGGAAGATGAGTCTTTCTGACTCCAGGGCCAATGCTCTATCCACTCGTTGCCCCAAATACCTAACGTGTAAGACTAAATCATTAAAACTAAATATGTATTATGAATTAGATAATGACTTGAGTTAAACGACCTCTAAGGTCTCTTCTAACTCTGAGATTCTCTGACTTAACACCCCTGAGACACCCCTATCTTGATTTGAAAGTCAGACTTGGGGCGAGGCAGAGGGAAGCATCCCTATTGTTCCCCAGGACAATTAGTGGGGAGTGGGAGGGTGGTTCCCAGAAGAGAATGTAACGATGATTAAGTACTACTTCAGGCTTTGGAGGGTCCTACCTCCTACATCCGACTTTCAGTGGCTTATCCACCAGTTAGGGACAGATACAATGACTCCGCGTTCAAGTTTCTCTCCCAGAAGCCTGTACTTACCTGGCAGCCATCCTTTGGCTTTAAGTCAAGGACAGACACAAGGTCAAGGGTCTGGGGTCTGGAACATGGCCTCTTTGATGCCTTGTCTTCTTGCAGCTGGTCTCCTAGAGCCGAGGCCTTCCCAGGAGCCCACACAACTTCCGTCTTCAGATGGTTGATCTCCTTGGCCAAGCGGACAATGAGCTGAGGAGTCAGCCCACTGTCGCCTTCTTTGCTGTTCAGTGCCAGCTGCTCCTTGAGGAGGTTGATTATGGTATTGGCATTCCGTAGCTTCCCGTGCAGCTTTCTGACCTCAGCACATAGGCTGTCCTCTTTCAAAGCCCGTCTGGCATCCTCTAGCAGCCCTTCTTCCTTCTCCCTGTCTTCCTCCATTTCTCCGGCTTCAGACATTGCTTCTCCCATCTGCTCCTTCAGCTCAGCATTCTCCAAGCACAGACTCAGCAAGGTGTTCCTATGGATGAACACACAGACACACAGCACCAGGTCAGGACCTCAGCAACGTTTCTAATGTTCTCCTTAACAAACACAATTATGTGAAAACAGTCTATTAAAGAACTGGAAGTTTCATTCTGGAAGGGGCTTCCCCATTTCATGGATGAGAAAACCAACGTTCAGAGAAGTCCACTAACAGTTAGTGAATGGCAGAGCCAGGGCTAGACTCTCAAGTCTTCTGACTCTTGGTTCAGGCTTTTTCCTGCGATGGGCAGTACTGGATCTCAGTTCCAGAGGAGTCAGGAATGTCTGAAGCCTTGCAAATAAATCTGTAATTTCTCTTGTGGGACCAAAAAGCAAGAACATTCTTGCTTGGAACAAATTCATTCCCATGAGTTTTAGGGGACTTTTTATTCATACACACATAGGTTTTTTTTTCTCAATAGATGATGACTAAGGTCAGAAAAGACATGTCACAATAAAATTCACAGAACATTCCACAAAAACATCCTGAAGAGTTTTTTTCTAACACATTATGGTTCTTTCTCTTCCACCTAAGTCTTTATTAAGACAATTAATGAATAGCAAAACAATTCGAACTTTACCTTTTCTACTATTTCTTCTCTCTCTCTCTCTCATAAGTACATAGATAAGCTAGACAGATACAGAGGGAGAGAGAGACAGACATAGAGACAGATAGAAACAGTCAGAGAGACAGAAACAGAGAGAGGCAGACAGAAAGATAGAGACAGAGAGAAAACAGAGTGGACCCCTGGTTTCATTGGTACAAGGAACTCCCTGGTGAGGAAATTTCCTCCACTAATATAGGTTGTCACCTCTTCTGGATCTATAGTTTTAGAGAGTTGTCCAAGAGTCCTGAGGTTGCCTAGGATCATACAGCAAGGACATGTCAGAGTTGCTGCTTAAACCCAGGCCTTCTTGGCTTCAAGGAGAGCTCTCTATCGAATATACATTTTGTCCAGCCCTATGATTGCATCAATGTGAAAACAACCTCTCTTAATTCTGATCACCAACTTGCCTGCAATTTATAGTCTTAGAAAGTAGTCTGGACCACTTAGAAGTAAAGTGACTTGCCCTGGGTCGCACAACCAGGACATGTAAGAGTTGGGACTTGAATCCAGGTCTAGCCAACTCTCTATCCATTACACACCATGGTATATGTATCAGTACCAAATTATACAGGAAAACTGGTGGCTTAATGGATAGGGCATTGGACTTGGAATCAGGAAGACCAGGGCTCAAAGCCCTTCTCAGGCACTTACTACCTTTGTGACCCTGGGCAAGTCACTTAGCTTTCCTATGCCTCAGTTTCCTCATCTGTAAAATGAAAGGGGTAGACTGGAAGACCTCTGAGGTCCCTTCCACCTCTAAGTTTCTGAGCCTCGGACTCCAAATCCAGCACTCTACTCACTATGACATCCCAATCTCTAGTCCATAACTAAGTTTTTATCCCAACTGTAGATAATAATAATCTATTAGCCTCTGTCTGCCTCTGGTTCCTCAACTATAAAATGGCCTAATACTCCCAGCAGTGCTGTGAGGATCAAATAAAATAATATTTGTTAAGCACTTAGCATAGTACATGGCACATAGTAGGTGCTTATTAAATGTTTGTTCTCTCCCTCCTGCTGCCAAGGCCAATGCTCTTCCTGCCTATACCCCAATGCCTCTCCCAGCTAGGACAGAGCAAGTCTCTTGGGTATCACAGCTCTAGCCTGGAAGAATCCCTCTTTTCTTTTTCTTTCTTTCTTTCTTTTCTTTTTTTTTTTTTTTTGGCCAGGCAATGGGGTTAAGTGACTTGCCCACACAGCTAGTAAGTGTTATGTGTCTGAGGCTGGATTTGAACTCAGGTCCTCCTGAATCCAGGGCTGATGCTCTATCCACTGCACCACCTACCTGCCCCCCAAGAATCCATCTTTTCCAGGTGCCTGTGTCTGACCTGATATGGGAAACAGAGGAGAATCCTGCTTCCTCGATCTGGGCTTTCAGATCCTTCAGCTCCCCTTCAGCTTTTCTCTTCTGTTCCAGGTGCTGATGGATCTCCGCCTTCAGGCAGAGTACTTCCTCCTCAAGGCCACTGATTTTGTCTCCTCGGGTTGGGGAAGGAGGAGTTCGGTTAGAATGTTGGGTTTCCTCGGTCCACAGGCTTTTCTCTGAAGCCTCTTTGATGTACTGAAAAGAAACCACGGTTTAAAACAGTTAGGTCAACTTGACACTTACTAGCTGTGTGACCCTGGGCAAGTCACTTAACCCAGATTGCTTCATCAAAAAGTAAAAAAAATAAAATGGTTAGGTCACCCAGGGTGAGAGTATCCACAAACCAAAGAGTTTGTGGTGAAAGCCATCAAGAAGAAAGGAGGAGTCAGACCCCATGACCTTTTATTTCTTTTCAAACACTGCTGGCCCACTGAGATGGCAACACACAAGGGCATTGAAGGGACCTTGTTGGGTAGGGGACAGACATACCAGACAAGAACGGAGAGCGGCTGCCGCTGGACAGGTCATTTTAGGACGACTGCTACCCTATTCTGGGAGCTAGAGCCAGTAGAAAGAGTCAATAAAGACTAAGGCAATTTGGTTTTTTTTTTGTTTGTTTTAAAAAGAGAGAGACTGGGTCTTAAACTAGGTCAAGGTATCAAGGATACCACAATTCTCTTGTCCCCACTGTTTGAAAGTTCACCTAGAGTAGCTTCCAAATGAGAGAGGGGAAAGAGGATTAGTACTGCTAGTACATCATCGGTACACAAAGTAACCAATGGTCTGTCCAAGCAAAAATAACCCCAAGATCCTTGGTGACAGAATATAAGAGATCGGGAGGGAGAACCTAGACAGAAGAATGAACTGAGGTCACAGAACCATAGAATCAGAATGTTTAACTGAACGGAACCATAGCAAAGCGCTTAGCTTCTGGCAGGTGAACAGAGTCAAGGTACAAGCTACCCAGGGCAGATGGGTAGGTGGCCTCTTCCTAAAAAATCTGGGACAGAGGCACGGCTGTGTGGCCCAGGTCTAGAATTCACTCTCCTCACCTCCACCTCTTACAGTCTCCACTGTCATTCAAGGTTGAGCTCAAGGGCCATTACGGCATTATTTCCCCAGCAGCTAGGGCCTTCCCCCCAGAAATACCTTGTATTTGTTTTGTGTGTGTGTACATATACGTATACATGCAGACACATATGTATATGTCTGTATATTGACATCTATATATATGGACATCTACATGTATATGGACATCTACATATCTACGGACATCTATATATATATGAACATGTACATATATACAAATACATATATACATATATAAAACAGACACATATATATTATATATATACATATATATCTACACACACGCAGATACTTCTTGAAATAAAATAAGTCCTTTGAGGAAGCTCTCCTCTTAGTATCTTCTGTGCCTATTATAATGTGAGGCACACGGAATAGAGCCTTATTGACTGATTGATTTCAACTCTATGTGGTTGTTGTTCAATCATTTTCAGTCATGTCTGACTCTTCATGATCCCATTTAGGGTTTTCTTGGCAATGATACTGGAGTGGTTTGCCATTTCTTTCTCCGGCTCATTTTTCAGATGAGGAGCTGAGGCAAACAGGATTAAGTGACTTGCCCAGGGTCACACATAGACTACGTGTCTAAGGCCAGATTTGAAGTCAGGAAGAGGAGTCTCGACTCCAGGCCCAGTGCTCTGTGCGCTATGGCACCACCTAGCACCATTCAACTCTATGAGCTGCTCTTCATTTCCTTGTCCATAAAATGATGAATTGAACTTTAAAGTCCCTTGGATTTCTAGATTCGTGAACTTCTTTAAAAACCTCCATATTCTTTAGACGATGAGTCAAGTCACATTTTAACTTCCAACTTTCCAATCTGAAAAACTCAATCCCCTTGTCTTTTCTTCATAGGACCTTTTTTCTCAACACTTTAATTATTTTTAATGACCGAGATAATCAAACAACAAATCAAGCCCTGGTGTGTAGTGTTTGCTAATTGCTGAAGTGTAAATGCTCATGCAGAAAACTCAACCATCAGTTTGGGTCCACACTGGCTCTAGGGCACCCCTGGAGGACCGCCCACCCTTCTTACTTATCCCAGAGATGCCACCAGTGATGTCACAGAAAGCGTTGGGAATGAAATCAGGAGCAATAGACTAAATCCCAGCTGCCTATGCCTACTTGGCCTTGGTGTTGTTCAGTCATTTTTCAGTCGTGTCTGACTCTTTGTAAGCCCATTTGGGATTTTCTTCCCAAAGATACTGAAGTGGTTTGCCATTTTCTTTTTCATATTATTTGACAGATGAGGAAACTAAGGCAAACAGGGCTAAATGACTTGCCCAGAGTCACACAGCTAGTACGTGTCTGAGGCCAGATTTGAACTCAGGAAAAGGAGTCTTCCTGACTCTAGGTCTGGTGCTCTATGCACTATGGCGCCACCTAGCTGCCCTGTGGCATCCTAGGCAAGTCATTTAACAGCCTGAGCCTGTTTATATATAGAAGAGAGAAAATACTTGAGTGGAAAGGACGTCAGAAACCATTTCTCTCCAGAAACCATCCCATTCCACAAATGAGGAAACTGAGGCCCAGAATGTTGATGTGACTTGGTAAAGACAGTAAGCTGCAGAGGCAAAATTTGAACCCAGATCCTCTGCTTTCCCTTAACCTGCGTACTATATGTGCTTTCTGAATTTATTGTATCCAAGCATACATTGTAGAGTGTTTTAGGGTCTACCAAGCAAACTGGGCTTGATCCTGCCAAATTCTCAAGATATCAGTTTCTATCTCTTCTCCTGTACACAGCCAAATTCCTTTAAAAAGTATTCTGACTTACTAGCTGTGTGACCCCGGGCAAGTCACTTACCCCCATTGCCTAGTTAATTAATTAATTAAAAGTATTCTGTACTCACTGTTCCTACTTCGTCACTCCACTCATTTTAAAACCCCTTGCTCTTTGGGTCCTGACCCTACTATCTGAATGAAAACGATCTCTTCAATGTTACCAGATATCTGTTAGGTCATTTTGTTTTGTTTTTACAAGTAGTCATCCTCTAAAAATGCTTGTCAGAATTTGACACTGATGAATAATGTACCCTCCCTTGTACTTTGACAGTGTAACCCAGACACTGCTCTCTTGTCACTCCTGTCTAATGACTCCTCATCAGTCTCTTTGCGTGGTCCTCATCCATCTTCTGTCCACTAAGTTTGGGTTTGAGCACCAATGCTGTGAACTGGGCTCTCTCTTCTCTTCTCTACACCTTCTGTCAGTGATCAGCTCTCCTGAGAGTTCGGTTTTCATCTCTGTATGGATGATCCTCCTTGTGTATATCCTGTCTTTACCTCTCTCCTAAGTTCCACTATCTCATGTCCAATAGCCTGCTGGACATCGTGGCTGCCAGGTTGTTCCAAAAGCATCTGATATTCAACATGTCCAGAAATGGAACTCATTATCTTCCAGCCCATCCTCAAAACATGCTTATATTTCTGTCGAAGGTTCCATCACTGCCATCTAGGAGTCATTCTTGATGCTTTGCTCCACTTTTCCTCCATTAGTACCTTCATGCATTTGTCCCATTCTGACCAATAACATGCCACTTCTCTGGTTCAAACTCTCATCACCTTTGCCTAGACTTGCAACAGGCTCCCAATGAGTCTCCTTGCTTCAAGTCTTACCCCCTTTCCAATCCATTCTCTGACCCAGTTGCCAAAATAATCTGAGATTATCAAGCATAAATATCTTTCCATATTACTCTAGATCAAGAATTTCTAGTATATCTTTATTGTCTCTAAGATTAAACACAAACTTACCAGTTTAGTATGAAAAGATCTCCTGTTTCTCACAATACCTCTCCAGATTTACTTCTAATTATTCCCCCCCTTTATGCACTGTGCATTCCTGCCAAACTGGACCATTTGCTGTTACCTTAACTCAGCATTCCATCTGCTATGCCCATGTCTTCTCATTCTGCTCCATAGAATCTGGAGCTTTCTCCAAGGCTCAATTCAGTGACCACTTTCTACAGGAAGCCTTTTCTCACGCCCTTCGTTATTAAGGTAAGACACTCCATCTCTCAGTTCTGAGCATTTTCTTTAGCTGTTCCCCGTGCCTGGAATGTTCTCCCTCCTCATCTCTGCCTCCTGCCTTCTCTGGTTTTCTTTAAGTCTCAACTAAAACCCCACCTTCTGCAGAAAGCCTTTTTCAACCCCTCTTCATCCCAGTGTCTTCCCTCTCTTAATCCTTTCCGATTTATCCTGTATGTAGCCTCTCGCTTCGTACATATGCTGCCTCATGTTAGATTGTGAGCTCCTTGAGGGAAGGGACTTTTGTCTCTTTTTGTGCCCCGGTACAGTGCCTGGCAGCGTAGTAGGCACTAAATAAATGTTTATTTACCGATTAGTAGAGTCCTCTCCCTTCCAAAATTATCCTACATTTGTTTTGAATATGTTGTATCACTCGGTGGAATGTAAGTTCCTTGAGAGAAGGGATCATTTTTTGTTTCTGTATTTGCAGGATCTAATAATAGCGCTTTGCACATAAAAGTTACTTAATATTGTTGTTGAAATGAATTACAAGTGTCATCTTTTTCTTTCCTCTTTTGAACACTCCTTTACCCCCTTTTTTTTTTATCTTTAGGAATTTTGTCTCTTCTCTTTGATTTCCTAGAAAAAATGGTTAGTAAGTGCCATTCCCTAAACACTACTCTGAAGTACATTCCATTACTGATTTAAGTAATAGTTATTTTTTACATACCCTTTAGTTCTATCCTAGCTTGGTTTTTCATCCTGTTATTGCAACCGGGACTCATTTTAAACTAAACAAGAGGAAAAAATGAATAGGGGTGTATGTAACGTCCTACACATTTTTTTAAAAAAACATTAACCATACAATATATGAAATCAGGAGATATGGTTGGAGAGCAGTTTACATGGAAAGGAAGACTGAAAATTCAATATGAATCAGCTGTGTAATGTGGCTACAAAGAAAACCAGTAGGATCTTTGGTTTTGTTAACAAAAATGCGATGTCCAGAATGGGTGAGGCAATATAGTCTTTTGGGTATTTGTTCTAGTCAAATGAATACATCTGGAATGTGGTGCTCAGTTCTAGGGGTTACATTTGAGAAGGAAAATGGACAAGATAGAGTAAGTCCAGAGGAGGAAGATGACGATAGTGAGGGCATCCGTCTTTGCAGCAGCATGATGAAGAATGGTTAAGTGAGTTGGGTATGTTTAGTCTGGAAAAGAAAAACTTGGAGGCAGTGAATGGTGGGGTGGGGGTGGGAAGAACATGCTAGCTGTCTTCAAATATGGAAGAGCTGTAGTTTGACAGAAAGATTAGATCTTCTTGGCCCCATATGGGAGAGCTAGAATCAATGGGTAGAAGTTACAGAAAGGTATATTTGGGTTCAACATAAGGAACAAATCCATAACAATTAGAGCAAAATGGCAGAATTGGCCAGCCTTAGGAGGTACTGATTTTCCTATCACTGGGGGATCCTCCCGTGGAGGCTAAATGACCACTTTGGGAGAATATTTTAGAGAGAATTCATATTCCAGATAAATATTGGACCAGATGATCCCTAACTTCTCTCTAGCTCTCAGATCCTATGATTTTTCTAGTCAATAGCCCCATTCAGGATTTTTTTTTAAATAACCTAAGTGAATATGCTAAAAATTGTGACTATCATTTGGGGGAAGTGGGAGGGAAGAATATCTTAATACCCTCTTAAAGAATGTATGTATGAGGGGCAGGTAGGTGGCGCAGTGGATAGAGCACCGGTCCTGAATTCAGGAGGACCTGAGTTCAAATCTGGCCTCAGACACATAACACTTACTAGCTGTGTGACCCTGGGTAAGTCACTTAACCCCATTGCCTAGCCAAAAAAAAAAAAAAGAATGTATGTATGAGGGGCAGCTAGGTGGCGCAGTGGATAGAATGCTGACCTTGGAGTCAGGAGGACCTGAGTTCAAATTCAGCCTCACACAACTTGATACTTACTAGCTGTGTGACCCTGGCAAATCACTTTAACCCCAACTGCCTCTCCAAAAAATAAATAAATAAAATGTGTGGATGTAATTTGGGAAGCTTTTTTTTGGTGTGTCTTGCTATTTATACCTCCTTTTTAATTTTAGTCATTCTAAGCTTGTTGTCCTAGGACCAGAAAATTTCTTTATACTCATTTTTTTTTCTCCTTGACCTCACTTTTTGTAACTTTTCCAACAGCTTTTTGGTTTCTGTGGAGTTCTGGTTTCTAGTCACACTGCCTGGTAAAGTATGTTGTATTTTCATATGAACATTCAGGCCTCTTTTTTTTGAAACCCCCTGTAACTCAGTTCTTTTCAATGGATCTTTCCTAATGAATGATCTACTTGTATTAAAAAAAATTTGCTTTTCTCAATTGTCTTTTCTTTATCTTACCAACTTTTGATTTCTCTTGGAATCATGAATACAATATCCTAGATGATTTCTTCCCCATTAGAGTGGACAACTGTCCTAGTTAATTACTCTAGCTTAGTCCAAGGAAATTGTTGTACCCCCACATTCTATATGATGATGTGATCTACTGAGGTACTTACTCATTGAACAGATACCTGTGTAAAGCTATTAAATTACCTAATAGGTCTTGAATCCATTGGTGAAGAGGAAGCACTCTGACAAAATGGGAAGAAATGAACCTCAGGAGATGTGACATCCTGGAAGCTGTTGGGTACTGGATAGCTTGATAGGATAGCAAAAAGTCAAGCGTGTTAATGGAATGTTAGGGGGGGGTGGTTAAGAGGTCTTGGGAGCATGTATGCAGCCCATCATCCAGGGCTGCAACTAAGCAAGAAAAGGGTATTATAGGCCCAGCCTGAAATGGTTATTTCCCTAGAGGCAAATGAACACATCTTGGAGCACTGTGACATCATGTGGTTAAGTCAAAACAAGCTTTATTGCATTGTCAGCAGGGGAAATCACATCCTGCAAACCATGGGGAGTTTACAAAGATGCAGAATCCCTGGGTTCCTGCTATACACACTGAGTTTCCTGTAAAGTCAACAGCATGATGTGATAACAGCAATTTAAGAGACTCTTTGTTAATAAGCCCACCTGGTCCTTCAAGAATGCTTTCTTGGATCGGTTTCTGATCTAATTAATCTGACTCTGACCTAATTAATCATTTAATAACTACTTCCTAATCTAGCCAGCAGTATGGTAGGTTCTTGGGTGGATGGGGACATTGTTGGAGGGAAGGGAGATACAAATCCCAAAGAGCAAAGGACTATGAGGAACAGGAGTTTCCTATGGGGTTAGACTCAAAGTGGGTCAGAGTACTCTCTACATTATGGGGAGGAAGACCAGAAGAAATGACCTGCATATTGACTCTCCTAGTATGATACAATAGTGAAGGAGGATTCTAAGGCCTGCTAAGCCTTGGGCCAGCTCCCCTAGGGGTAATTTATTTAGATCATCAGTATCTCTCCCCTTCCAACCTTATTTCCTATAAATTCTAAGACTGATCCTAGCCACAGTCCTTGCAACGAGTGTTCTCCAGGGCCAATAATTGGTCTTCTCACTTATCTTGTAGGAACCCCTAGTCCAGGACTGGAAGAGTCAACTAAAAATAAGGAGAAGGACCAGTCTCAATAGGCAGAGTTGAAGACAGAAGCCTGGGTTAGTATATGGAAGGTTCAATAGAAGCATTTCATGGGCAAGAAGGAGGGGATTTCATGCACGAGTTCAAGAGAAGGGTCAAAGTTGAATAAAACCAAGCAACAGAAAGAGGACCATGGTGTAAGGTAAAGAAGACTCACTGGGGAAAAGGGGCACACTGACTGTCTATGTCATCTCCCGGGAGGCCATCTCCAAAGCCAACACCTATGAAATTCGCATCTTAAGGGGTCAGACTTAGTAAAAGGGCCTTCCCTCTTACTTACATCCGTGAAACGAAGCAGCCCCAGGTAGGCACCATCTTCTCCCCAACACAACTACCTTTTTTCCTGAATTTCTCGAGTAGGAGGAATTTAGTCACCGTGAGGGGGGGAGGAAGAGATTTCAAAACATACTCTGTCTCTAAAGGCCCAGGGCAATTACTCTGGATAACGCCAAATACTGGCATAGAAGAGATTAAATGTATGTGGGATGGGGGAAGAAGGAAAGTGTCCTTGGTCGGTGGTGAGAATGTCTTTGACCTACGTCCTTGATCGGCACGTGACATTTACTCTCAGACACATCAAGCATAGACATAAGGCACATGTTCGCAAATAGGGCAGTCCTGTGGACAGAGATGAGTGTGCCTTTGCCACACGGTTGTGAATAAGTCAGAGCCGTCGAGGAGTGTTCTTGCTTTACTATCTGCTAGCCAGGAGATGCTGGTTGGCCAGTAATCAGTCCATCAGATTCCACTGAATGGGTAGCACATGGCCTCCCAGAGCTACCCAGAGAGTACCTCTTCAGGAAGAAGTCCCACACTCGGCTTGAGGCCCCAAAGCCCCTTGAAGATGCCCTTCCGGCTACAAGAGGCCAAAGGGGCCTCTGCCCTGTGAGAAGCAAGAGAATTCTTGAAGCCGCTGGTGCGGAGTTGGGGTGGGGGAGGCGCGGAGAAGGGAGAGGTAAAAAGGACAAAGGGAGAGGAAAGTACTGGCAGGTTATTCCAGTCCATATGTTTATCGCTGCCTTTTCAGCTGCCACAGGCCCCAGGAGACCATCAGACCCCCAAAGGGTAGTGCATCTCCCCCCCCCATCCCGGTACCCCTGGACCTGGCCCTAACTTACTTGCTGGTGGGTATTACTGCGTGAGGCTTCCTCTTCAATACTGTCAGTGAACTCGGTGCTAGCATCCTCCGTGTCCTCACCCCCAGCTGTGCCTGGAAGAAAGGACCGAAACAAGGTGACTCCCCAGGTGGTCTTTCTCCAAACAGCAACTAAGCTAACGTTCCTCTTGTTGCCAGTTTCTGGTCTCCTGCCTCCCCTATCCACCACCCACCCTCACCCCTATCCTTGAGGGAAGGAGAAATGAAAAGCCACACCTTTCTACTAGAACTTTGGGATTTATTAGCCTTGTAGGATATCAGGTGGGGAGCTACCAAGCCCCAAAAAAACCCCAGACCTGTCCTTGAAACTAGACTTGTCTGAATAGATGCTCAAAGGATTAAACACTCACCCTTACAGCAGGCAAGTGAACACAGATGCTGACCATAAGCCAAAAAGCACAGGTTTTCTTTCCAGCTCAGTCACTGTCTCCCTGTATAACTCTACTTTCTCCATCAATAAAATGGGACTAAACCCTACCCATCTACTTACAGCCACCGGGCCATAAGAAGACTCATTGCTTAGGCTTGGTTTGTATAATGCCTGCTAATGCTCTCCAATATGAACCTACCTTCTCAACCTCTCCTATCTTTTCCACCTGCTTGGGAATGCTGCCATTTGAATGAATGACAATCCAAAGACAACTATTGAAAGCTGCTTTTCAAGACTCCTCCTCCAAGGTTCTCATGCTACCCAAAATCCCAAGTAGAGCTCAGACCCAAGGAGGGAACTGGGACAAGTCAAGGTCATTCAAGCATTTGCATTTGATGACACATATATGCCATCTCTCTCACCCTCTTAGATCCTCCCCCACTATAACCTTTATTGGATTTAAATTTTCTAGTATCTTCATCTCTCCTGGGAAAATGGTTCAGTTGTTTCAGTCAGGTCCGACTTTTGTGACCCCTTTTGGGGGTTTTCTTGGCAAAGATACTGGAGTGGTTTGCCATTTCCTTCTCCAGCTCATTTTACAGATGAGGAAACTGAGGCAAACAGGATTAAGTGACTTGCCTGGGGTCACTCAGGTAGCAAGTGTCTGAGGCCAGATTTGAACTCAGGAAGATGAATCTTCCTGATTCTAAGCCCAGTGCTTTATCCACCGCACCACCTACCCGCCCTGGGAAAATGGAAATTTCCTTGAAGTTCTCTCGTCTAGAGGGCTTCCCTCTTACAAGTCCCTACTTCTTCATGTTTTACTTTCCCCAACTGGGAGTCAATCCAAACTGGAAAACCTTTCGCCTTCTCAAGCCTGGTCTGTTATCTCATCAGCAGGGGAACCCCCAGCCTGCTCTGGGAGACCATGTCTTTTGTGAAGGATGCTTCTCCGGTCGCATCTGTGACACTGATTTCCCAACTGTGTATTAGGGTTTACAGCCATTCTGGACTAGACCAGCCTGGGACCAGTCAGGATGACAAATACGTATTGGTTCTGCAGAAGGTGATGGGAACTCCAGTGACAAAGGAATGTAGACCTGGCAGGACCTTTGACATCTAGTCCAATCCCTTTTATTTTACTGATGGGGAAACCAAAACTCACAGAGTAATTGTCAAGACCAAGATATCTATGACAACTGGGTCCTCTGATGAACAAATTCAGTGCGTGGTGGCTTTAGGTATAGGTACCAATGAACCATGCCTTTCCCTGGACTGTGATAGTGGCTCCTAGCTGTACCTGCTTAACTGAAATCACCATTTCCTCTGGCATCTCATCTCATAAATACCCTGTTTTTGTCTTCTCCACCTGGGAAATGGGGACATGGCCCTTGAACCTGGACATCCTTGGAGGAAAACTTTAGTATGACTAAGAAGGAAAATATTGACTATCAGCTAAGGAGGTTCACAAGGACATACAGTATTTCCCTGGTTGCTTATCACCTGATGCCATAGCTATTTCCAAAGTCCTGGTCTTTGTAACTCCAAAGAACTGAATGAACAGTGGCAAATTTGGCTTTTTCTAGGGATTCCTCACTCTCATGCTGAGTCTCCCAGCACAGCTTTACCTGCACCAGGTGGATTGACAGCTATTGTGAGAAGAACCTTAATGTGAGAAGAACCCCCATGCTGGTGCTTTGCCATCCAAGTTACGCTGTCTTAGTATAGACCACATTGCTTTGACATGGCCAACAAAAGAAGCTGTTTTTGCTTGATTATACAGATTAGTTACAAAAGCTTTCTTTTTCTTTTCTTTTTTTTTCTTTTTCCCTTCAATTGTGAGGAATAGAAGAAAATTGAGTGTTAATTGAAAAAAAATTTCATTTAAAAAATAAGATCACATTTGCATTATGAGGCAGACAGACAGATCACTAATGCTCTTTCAGGCAAATCAAGCCTAGAGTTATTTCACTGGAATGGTCCCTGGGGAGGAATCAACTTTTTCTGCTTCAGGGCCCTTATAACCTAATTAAAGTGGGCTTTGCTAGTGAATGCCTGAATACTTGGGAAGTATTTCCTTTTTGTTCCATCTTTCTCCATAAGACAGAACAAATTGGAACTTTACATTTTATAATTCCCATAAAGAGAATTGATCTATTCCATTTGCAGAGGGATGGCTAAAATAGGGTCACCTGTTGTAATTTTTGATAGCTATAGGGTTCATATGGTGGCAGGGGTAGGGAGAGAGAGCTAAGAGTCGTGGCTTAGCTCTAAAGCCAGAAGCTTCATCCCATGCCTGTCAGGTGGACTCTCTATGCTGTGTGACCCTGGGCAAGTCACATAACAATGTTTGCCTTAGTTTCTTCATCTGTAAAATGAGCTGGAGAAGGAAATGGCAAACCACTCCAGTATTTTTGCCAAGAAAACCCCAAATGGGGTCATGAAGGGTCAGACACAGCTGAAACGACTGAACAACAAACATCTTCATTCATCTTTCATCTTACATAAGTCCTTAAGAGCATTCTTTTCTGAGAATTTCCATCATTAAGCTTCTCTCAGGCAGCAAAATTGCCTACTGTTTCTTTCAAAATTAATTTGTACTAACTTAAAAATAACTAAAATAAACTGGTTACACCTAATACAACTAAATACACTGGTTAAAAATCGAAACATCAGCAGAAATTGCCTAGGAGTAAAATGAGCTATTAATACCTAAGTAGTTCTAAAAGAGACTAAAACGTGAAGAATCGGTCTGTGACCAGATTTTACTCATTCCACTTTGGTGACTTTATTTTCCTAAGGAAGTAAGATTACGGTTTAGGGCACTGGTTTTCGATGTACTGTCTAAGGATTACTGTTGAGCCTTGATCCAGCTAAGTAGTGAGAACTGGACTTGGATTCAGGAAGACTTGAGTTCAAATCCTGCCCCAGACATCTACTATGACCCTAGGCAAGTCAATTGACCTCTCTCAGACTCAGTTTCCTCATTTGAAAAATGAGTCTAGGGCACCAGCCCTGGAGTCAGGAAGACCTGAGGTCAAATCTGGTCTCAGACCAGACACTTGACACTTACTAGCTGTGTGACCTGGGACAAGTCACTTAACCCCAATTGCCTCACAAAAAAAAGAAAAAAAAAAAGAAAAATGAGACTGATAAAAAGCATCCACCTCATGGGGTTTTGATGAGGATCTCATGAGATAACCTATGTGGAGCATTAATTCTCGGTAGTCTGCACCTACATCATATACAGGCCATAGCGTTTTTCCATTGTTACTCTAGGGCAGTTTTCTGTTCTATCAAAATCTGACTCTCTTCTATTTTCTTGTCATGAAAGTGTTGGCTGGTAGGTCCAACTCCAGACTGGAAAGGCTTCAATTATGGACTGTGTGTCTTGGTGAAGCTCACTCATCTCAAGAAGGTTGACCACTAGGTGGTCAATTTTATTTTGCCAAAGCAAATGATAAAGATCATCTAACTAAGGTATGGAAGAGTTGCTATCTGCATTGGTAGAGGGAAGATCAGAATTTAGGAAATTATGGCTCTTTTGAAGTATATCATTCCATTGCCAACTTGAATACACATACAAAGCACGCACGCGCACATCCTCATGCACACACACACACACAAATATCTTTGGTTATATAAATATGAGGATGTAAAAATGTTTTTTAAAAGTCTCAAGCATGATATAAGAGGAAAGGATCATATTATTATGACTTAGACAAAAGGTCCACAATGGCCTTTGGTGCTGCTTTCTTAACAGGGCTTCATAATTGGTGATGCACCTACTAGAAAGTTCCCTGTTAAATTAGGGCCCAAACTTCCCCCAGAGAAGGAGAAGACTTCTACGCTTGATGACCTTGATTAATCCTGTTTAAATCCCTTGAGTGCCTTTTTTTATTTTGAATTTATTTAATTTTTAATTTATGGAATAAAAGAAGCATTTCCATAACACAGTATAATAAAGATGATTGCATATGAAACTGCAAATCTAGTATGTACAACTTGCTATTCCTTTTAAATATATAATAAAGTTATTATGTAAATTTCTTTTTTTCCTTTTTTTCTCTTTCCCCTCCCTGTCCTGCTCTAGAGATGGGTACCATTAGACGCAAATAAGTATATACTATGTCTGTGTGCCCCTAGGTGCCAGAGAGGGGCACCTAGGTGGCGTCATAAGGCATAGCGTGCCAGGCCTGGAGTCAGGAAGACTCATCTTCCTGAGTTAAAAACTGACCTAGATGTGTGACCCTGGGCAAGTCACTTAACTCTGTTTGCCTCAGTTTCCTCATCTGTCAAATAATCTGGAGAAGGGAATGGCAAATTACTTCAATATCTCTGCCAAGAGAACCCCAAATGGGGTCATGAAGAATTGGACACGACTGAAACAACCTAACAACACACACCGGAGAGGAAGGAGGAACCTTCTATACTTGATGAATCTTATTGAAGTCCCTTCATTTGTCAATGCCTTTGTTTACCTGAGGTGCTACACTTTCCCCTTATTGTTTAACAAAGAGACTGGGGGGTTGTTGGGGTATCAGTAAGACAAGATGGGTTTCTCTTGAGTAGGTACTTTATAAGTAGAATGTATTAAAAGTATCGAGCTAGTTCCTGGCACATAGTAGGCACTTTACAAATGCCTGACTGAGCATCACTGAACTGCAGCCTTTAACATGTATCT